CCCCGTTTCCCCGTTTCCTCCCCGGCCTCCAGGCTGTACCCACCTCTGTTCCAGCAGCTTCGGCTGAGGGTACTGCGACCTGCGACCGAGAAGGGCCAGTGGTGAGGGAGGCGCCCCACCCCCCACCCCCCGGGCCACAAGGGGGGTGTCTGCTTACCGTGCCACGGGCTGGAACGGCTTCTCCCCCCGGAACTGCAGCTTCATGTTGCTGTGGGCAGAGGCGAGAGAGCCGTCAGTGCCAGGCGGTGGCAGAAAGAAGCTGAGGTTAACCCAGCACCCACAGGGCAGGCACAATCCGGAACCTTCCCCGCGGCTCTGCCCGCTCTGCAGGGGCTGGGCTGCGACAGAAGCGTCTGCCCAGGGTCACCGAGTGGCAGGGTGGTTGGTGTCCAGAAAAATAACTCGGTAAAACCCAAAGATGGACAAACCGGAGGGAAAAAAACATAGCAAAAATGCTCGGCCAAGGGTGATGACGGGACCGCAGGCGGGCCAAAGGGAGAGGGGGGCTGGGAGCGGAAAGGGGACCCATGGAGGCCTGTGGGAAAGAGGCCTGGGAGCCATCCAAGGCATGGGGAGCTGCGGGGAGGGTTGGTCTTAGTTTTTCTAGCTCCTGGTCCTGCCAGTAGGGGCCCAGGGGCAGTGTCAGGGGGTGTGGGGTGTGCTCTGGCCGTATCCAGTGTGGCTCAGTGGATAGAGTGTCAGACTGAAGGGTCCTGGGTTCGATTCCGGTCAAGAGCAGGTACCTCGACTGCAAGCTTGATCCCTGGCGCTGGTGAGGGCACATGCAGGAGGCAACCAATCGATGTCTCTCTCACATCGATGTTTCTCTCTCTCTGTATCTCCCCCTCCCTTCCACTGTCTCTAAATTAATCAATGAAAAATATCCTCAGGTGAGGAGTAACAACAACAAAAAGAACCTCTCCCGCCCTGACCGGTTTGGCTCTGTGGATAGAGCGTCGGCCTGCGGACTGAAGGGGCCCAGGTTCAATTCCGGTCAAGGGCATGTACCTGGGTTTCGGGCACATCCCCAGTAGGGGGTGTGCAGGAGGCAGCTGATCGATGTTTCTCTCTCATCGGTGTTTCTAACTCTCTATCACTCTCCCTTCCTCTCTGTAAAAAAAATCAATAAAATATATTAAAAAAAGAACCTCTCCATGGACTCTGGCCCAGGAAGGGAACACATCAAACAAAAGGACCTTGAATACAGCAAAAGCTTTATATCCAAGGCTGCGCATTACGAACTCATGCAGCACACTGGGGAACCGGGAACCGGGCCCCGGTGGAATGAACTGGCGGGGACCCCGAAGAGGACGAGCACAGGCCGGAAAATAAAGCCACTTCCGGGAAACAGGGTAAAATCGCAAAAACATTACGATCACAGCTTTCCTGTTTTTAATACTGTACCAGCCTTGCATCCCGCAGTAAATCCCACTTGGGCATGATGTATGATCTTTTTAAAACACTGCCGGATCCGGTTTGCTATTTTGTTTAGAATTTTTGCAGCTATGTTTATGGGGATATAGACCTGTACTTCTCTTTCTTTGCTGTGTCTTTATCTGGTTTGGAATTAGGACTATGCTGGCCTCGTAAGGTGAGCGTGGGAGTGTTTCCTCTTGAGTTTGTTGGGCTGGTTTAAGGCGTGTTCGTCCTTTGAATGTTTGGTGAAGTTCCCCCGTGAGGCCGGCGCGGGCCTCCCTTTGTTGGGAGGTTCCGTTTACCGCTCCCGTTCCACCGGTTGTCATCGGAGGCCACAACCATTTACAACGGCAAGGAGCCTTTCTGCTTTCAGAACCAACTAGATGCCCAATCTGTTCCTTTAGGAAGCACAGCAAGCAACACGCCACAGCGAACTTTGAAACGGGAGCAAAATTCAGGTCAGTGGGACCCACCAGGGCTGCTTCTACGTCTTCTCTGCTTTGCAACTTCCTAATTTACTAGATTCTGTGCTTAAAATGTCTTTAATCTTCACCTGAGGAGATGTGTTTATTGGTTTTACTTTATTATTATTTATCTTAATCCTCACCCGGGGATATATTTTGCATTGATTTTTTAGAGAAAAGGACAGTAGGAGGGGAAGGGGGTGCGCTAGGGAGAGAGAGACACACTGATTAGTGGCCTCCCACACAAGCCCTGGCGGTTCGGGGATCAAACCTGCAGCCCTTCGGAGCAAGGGCCCATGCTCTAACCACCGACCCACACCTGCCAGTGCTGTTCTTATTGATTTTAGAGAGAGGAGAGAGAAACATCGGCCTGAGAAACATCCATCAGTTGCCTCTCCCACGCACCCAGTCCCGGGATTGAACCCCCACGACCTAGCTATGTGCCCTGACTGGGAACTGAGCCCACAACCTTTTGGTGTCAGGGATGACCCTCCAATTGAGCCCCCTGGCCATGCAATATTCATGTTTTTATGATAATAAAACACGCCTTGTTCATCAATAGTCTGTGCTCAGATTTTAAACTTCCCTTTAGTTGTCATGGAACACAAGGCGGGGGCCGGATGCCCCCGGGACTCTGTCCCAACCCACTTCTGCACGGTGAGCTGTCAAAGTCAGGTGTGTGACGGGCACCAGACTTCGGTCACATGTTAATTTGCTCCTTGAGTCCACTGAGAACAGAGCTGAGCGAAATGGTCAAGTCCTCAAAGCACTGTTTCCTGAGCGCCCACTCGGAGGCCGGTGCCACCTTGGCACTCCGTGACCCCAGGAGCTGTGAGGGGCACCTGGACCATCCCATCTTGAAGATGCGGCAAGTGGGGCTCGGAGCTACGCAACATGCTCAAGGCCCGGCTGCGGAGCGGGTGTTGCAGGGACAGACGCTGAAACAGGGCAGCCCATAAATTACCAAACACTCACCACACTGATTGTGAGCTTAGGACCCAAGCCCCTGCAGACAGAGTGGCCTTAAAACCCCCATCTCCCCCACTCCGTGCAGCCCACCGGGCCCCCAGTTCTCCCAGCCGCGTACTTACAAGATCTCCGGGCAGGGGAGGTAGTAGGGGACATAGGAGAACGGCAGCCAGTCGTCGGCATATACCCTGGGAAGGAAAACCACCGCTGATTCGAGGGCCCAGAGGCCGGAACCCCCTTGGTGCACACTGGTAGGGGGAGCAAAGGGCCCGGGGAGCATCTGCGGTCCCCATGGCGCCCTGGTCTGGCTGACCGCGAGGGACAAGGCCTCCTGGTCGTCCAGCATGCAGGCACTAGTCACCCCTGAAGTCATTCATCCCTGGGGCAGGGGTGTTCTTGACTCCAGCCCTGCACACACGAGGGGGGCCTTTGTGGTGAGGGCTGCCCAGGAACGCATCGGCCAAACTGGGGGCATCACCAGGAGTTCCTGGTCATCGGGGCTAGAAGGACGGCGAGACAGAGGAAAGAGCACGTGCAAAGGCCAGGAGGCCAGCCCCAGGCAAAATCTAGAAACCTCGTTGGGTCTTCCTGGGGTTGGGGGACCGCTGTGCCGGGAGAGGTGGGCATGCCCTGAACGGGTCAGGTTTGGGGGCTGAGATGCCAAGAGAGGAGTCTGAGGTGGGGCTGGAGGGCGCCCTGGGCATGCTCACCACAGAGCGCAGAGGGCCGTGCCCACCAGCAGGCAGACGCCCAGGCCCAGGGCCAGTCTGCGGCAGCGCATGGCGGGTGCCGCACCCCTCTAGGCACCTGCGGAGGGTGGGTGTGCTGAGCTGATCAGCCCTCCTCTCTCAGAGCCT